ATCGGGCGTGAATCTTTAGCTCCTGGTCCAGGTCGGCTGCATTACTTTGGTACCGATCAATCAGACGTTGCTCATCATTAATATGTCCTTCCAGGACAGACTTTTCTTGATGGAGCGTCTTCAGCTCTGCTTCTTTTTGCTGGATTGACCCCTCGATGTGTGCCTTGGCATTATTCAGGCTTTCTAGTCGACCAATTGCTTGTTGAATGGATTATTTGGTTTTAATCAATGAGGCCTCCAGACTTATTTGTTCCAAGTCGGGCAAGGGGGTCTCAGCCGTCAAAAGTTGGGCGAACAGAACTTCATTTCTGAGTTCGGACAATCGCTTCATTAATTGGTGAAGAATAGGGGCAGCAGCCGACTTTGAAGACATTTGGAACAAGAGACCACCAACAGCTTGAAGAAAGCTGTCAAGCAAGTCTGACCCCAGGTCGGGGAAAGATTGGTCAACAGCCTGTGCAATTACAGTTCGGACGTCCGTCGAAATGGGGACCGCCGACAAGAGGGCTAGGTCAGAACATTCCTGAAATAAAAGATATTTATCTCAGACTGAATGGACGGATGGTGGTTTTTTAAGGTGCCAAAATAACCCTAAGTCTGGAGGGTCGGGCGGCTGGTATTTCGATAGCTGATTCGTCGGCTGTCTCGAGTGGATGCTGAGGTATGGATCCAGGTCCCTGAGTGGTGAAAATATAGTGTGTCAAAGGTCATGCTAGCTTGTATTTTGGTACATTTGAGGAAGAAATTTCAAGTGTTTACCAGGTTGACAGAGGTCTTTGAGTCAGATGAGGGAATTTCTGGTAATTCCTGTAAGAGACCTCTTGGTGGTATTGGTGCAGGTTCATTTTCTCGCCTATCTGCTTCTGGAAGAGGGTCTGCTACCCCTGGGTTGGCAACCTCCAAGTCGGCCACTATTGGGTCGGCAACCTCCAAGTCGGCCACTATTGGGTCGGCAACCTCCAGGTCTGGTGCCCCTGGGTCAGCAACCTCCAAGTTGGCCGCTGCTGGGTCGACAGCCTCCAAGTCGGTTGCCCCTGGGTCAACAACCTCCAAGTGGGTCGCTCGAGCCAAAGCCACACCTGAGTATGAATTAAGGATTAATATTCTGTTAAGAGAAGAATCAAATTACATTGAGAGTATACCTGAACGGGATCGGGTCCTTATAAGGAGCCGACCTGATGAACGCTTTGTTGGGGACGGTTGACTGTTCCCAAAAGGGGGAATAGATTGAGTCTGAGGGGCTTTTCTCCTCCTCTGTGGCGTACCCGACTCATCGCCCTGAGTAATCAGGTTCCTTCGGGTGTTAGTCAGAGGGGTCGCCCCTAAAATTATTGCAGGTGGGGGAAGAAGTATGCCCAGTAAACGGTCCTTGTCAGGGGCAATCAAGGCCCAAGTAACCAACCACCACTCACGAAAGACTCAACTGAAGTTGGAGAAGTTTTGAAAGGGATGTAAGTGTTGGTAGTGATGTAATTTGTGAGTTGGGATATATATGGGGCGATTGCATTAGGAATGGCTTTCCCATCCGGACTTTGAATTATAAAATGAGGATGTGCAATGGGTCCAGGCAAGCCTTGTTGGCAGCCGAATTGGCGTGCCATAAATTGAGGTTGGTAGTTGAAGGTATAAAATATTTTGAGGCCTTTTTTATCGATTTTCTTACTGGTGAATAAAGACCTGGGTTTAAGGGCGACATCCCAAGAGAAAGGGAAAGTCGGATGTGGAAGTGGATTTGGTTGGAACAAAGGCGAAGAAACAGGGAATGGCCAAAACAAACCGGAAGCATAACCAATATACTTTTTGTGTATGTAAAAATGGTTGTCATTTCGATTATTAGTAAGAATGGCTGTTATGATTGGATCAGAAGCCTGGAGGTTATTACGGCCTAAGCAAAGTCGGTTAAGGGCTACTCCTAGGGATTTCTCAAGTGTGGGAGCAACAGGAGGATGACCAAGTTGGAAGGCGTCGAGAAAATAGAGACGGAACCATAGTTCCAGGAACCAAAAAGGATCCGACGCAGTAGTGTCTAATTTTTTACCGTCTTTTTCAGTAAGGCGAACACTAACTCTAGATAATCCTTCAAAGAGATTGGCAAGGAAAATGGTGCCCAACGAAAAGAACCGACCCGAGGCTATGTGTATAGCAAGATCAAGATGAGAAGGCAGGACACATTTCGAAGGAGAGACTACAACATACTTACAGAGCCAAAAGAGCAGAAAAACGGTGTGCTCTCGATCGGTTATAGGGGTCCCGTCGGCTCCTTGTTGGTCATTTAGAAATTTAGTCCAGCCCCATTCTCTCACATCTGTCAGAGACCAACCCAAGTGGTCTGTGTTGAGCTCTTGTCCATTTAGGCACCCATTACAGGGTCTTCCCCAACGATGGGCAGATGAACGATCATGGCTACGTCCATGAGGGTGGGGCCGATGGGGGCTGTTGGAAGAAGGAAGGTGCAAACCTCAGAGTGCCAAAACGCTGCCATGGCCAGGAGGATTTTCTCATGTAAATGGCACGGGAGCGTTGACAGGCGTATGGCTTCATCGATGTGTTGAGTTTTCCATTGCTCCTGGTAATGTTCTGCTATTCTTTGGTACCAGGTACGGTAGGGATCCTTGGGATCCGTCAGGTGTGTTTTGATGCTTTAATGAAGACGAGTCGCGTTGTAGTTGGGGCTATTGATCGCCAGCAGATTTCTTGCCTCCAAGACTTCCCTCATACGATTGGTGTGTGCATTTTCGTTGACGTAAGAGTGGTTTCAGGGATTGATCCATCGATGGGAAGTGCAGGAACATATTGATTCTCCATGGTTAGAGTTGTTGAGATTGTGATTCACAAAGGCTCGTATTGAAGGAAGGGAAGTTAATCAGGAGTGTTGTAACTGGTGCAGTTGCTAAGGGACTTTCTCAAGAGGGTTGTGATTTATGAACTTCCAAACGACGATTGATAAACGGCGTTTGAAAGTCCCTTGGCAGCGGGCAAGTTGTTACGTATGAAATTTAGAATTAGGTTAAAAAGCCCAAGGTAAAAGAAAAAATGGGCCTGGTAATAGAGTTGATCGAACTGACTGAAGGGCACCGTGGGGAACTCAAGGAAAATAGGTTAATTTCCAAGGAGAATGCAGGACGGAAGGTCCTCAGGTCGGGAAGTCTTCAGGTCGGAAGGTCCTCAGGTCGGGAAGTCCTCAGGACGGAAAGTCCGCAGGTCGGAAGGTCCTTAGGTCAGGAGGTCTGCGACTAGACCAGTAAGTCGGATGGTCTTTAGGTCGAGAAGTCTGCGACTAGACCAGTAAGTCGGATGGTCTTTAAGCGGGAAGGTCTGCGACTTGACCAGTAAGTCGGATGGTCTTTAGGTCGGGAGGTCTGCGACTGGATCAACAAGTCGGGTGGCCCGCAAGTCGGGAAAATTGGTAGTCGGGCCAATAAGGTGGAAGAGTAGTGTTCGGACCAAAAGGGCGGAAGGTCTGCGGTCGGTCCAAAGAGGCGGATACTGTTAAGAGTGGAATAGAGTGATAATGTTGGTCTGCTAAGGACACGTGTCAGCAGGAAAAGGGTTGGCAGACGGTTGAAAATGAGATGTTGTAACCGTTCAGGCGACGGTTTCCAGTACAATTTCTCAGGAAGTATTTAAAGATTTGGATTTTTCTTGAGAGGGCATCTTCAATCAACTTCAACAAAGCCAAGTCAGATTTGGGGATCACCACTTTAAATTTCCAGCATTTTATTTTTCCAGTTAATTTCTTTATGTACTGTACCGTGTTTAGAGATTCCTAATCTCAGACACTCATTAATCAAGTTTAAAGATATTTTCTATATCTTTGAATTTTACTTTTTGTTTGTTGAAAAAATAAATTAACAATTTGATTGACCGCGCGGCAGGTCAGACTTTATTTCGTGGGATTAAGATTTCACAGGATTTATATGTAATGAAATTTATTATATTTATAATTTAGAAAAATAATGTTTGATTTATATTTCTCACATTTGGTTTGTTTTTCATATGAGTTGAAAGATTTGAAATTTTTATATTTTAAATGACATAATTGTCCTCATATGAATTTTATTTATTTTGATAAATTAAACATCTAATTCATTATTAATATAAAATTAAAAATATATCAACAATTTTATAGAATGACAATAGGTTTTTGTAAACTCGAGACCCGACCGAACCCGACCTATTTATTTGAAGTTGAATCAAATTATTTGAGTATTAGGTCTTGGTCTGGGTCATGTTCGGAGTAATATAATAATAGTATATCAACTATATATATAAAAAATTACTCCCTTCGTCCCACATAATTTATCCATATTTTTTAACAATATAATTATATTAAAAATATTTTTTGAGTTTAACTTATTCATTATGTTATTATAATATTTTTTAATAAAATACCTAAATTTTAATATATATGTCGGGTCTAGTACATGTCTAATTTTTAATTAAAATTTAAGAATAGTAAAAAAAAATAGATTTTTCGGATCAATCCAATCATAGTGGCTATAGTTTCGGTCAAATCCGATATAATCGGAATTTGAGCCTCGGATCTTACAATAACGATATCAGTTTCGAATTGTCATCCCTATCATTTATAATTCAAATAAAATTTATAATAAATAATAATTTTAAACAATAAATTTATTAATTTATTTAAAAAAATATTCTATCATAAAAATAATATAAATTTAATTAAATATATAATTCAAATAATATTATTTCTTTGATAAAATGATATAAAAGTAAAAAATTAAAATTCTAGAAATAAGATTTAAAAATAATCGAGGACCGGAGGTAGCTCTGTTACAAAAAATATATATATATTCCTTATTTATAAAATTTTGAATTTTTTAAATTTCATCATTTTTTTTTTTTAAATCAAACATAAATTTCATTAAATTTTAAAATCAAAATAACTTGAAATCTCTTTAAATCCTTAAACCAACCAACAATTCTTAAACCCTTGAGAGTACTTAATTGGGCCAAAATATCCAATTGGCCCTAGTATCGCCTCGTGTTCCACGAGTCTGTAAGAAATAGGAGTAAAAAATATCTTCAATAAGACCGGCGGTAGTTGGCGGCGACGGGGTTGGTGAGCTTGGGAAATTCACCCTCTTCTTCTTCTTCTGGTCAATGTCCAAAATATTTATGACAGCTCAAGCACTTGATCCGGAATAATCATAGTAAAAGATGGCTTGGATGACAAGATTTTTGACTGCGGTTGCATTCTTGGCCGTCGGAGTAATTTTCTCGCCGGAAACCTTCGGATCGAAGTCGGACGGCGGTTATTCACCAGTGCTTATCACTGGACTGAAGTTGTCACACCTTCTCTGCTTCTCCACAGCCTTCGGCTCATCTCTATGGGTTACCTTCATCGGCGGTATCATCATGTTCAAGTAAGATTTCATTTATATATTTTAAAATCTTCCTTTCTCGTTATTTTTGTTGAGTTATAGCTTCTAAATTTACAGAAATTGCGTCTCATAAAATCTTATTGAAATGGTTGGGCTGAGAATTTTATTGGAATATGTAGTTTTCGAATGAGGTATAGCATTTAAGAAAAACTTGTCGAATGATCCAACTCTGTATAGTTAACACTTTGTTTGAAAGTTGGAGTATTCTAGGCTTCGATTTCCCCTAAATTCAATATTAATCATGGGGGAAAATATGCTGAAGTAACTGTAGAAGTTGGGGAAATCAGGCTAGGTCAGTATAAATCTTGGGGAAGTTGGGGAAAATATGCTAAATTCAATATAAATCTTGTGTAATTTTTGTTCGTTGTAATTTCAAAGTTATTGGTATCCTTTTCATAGAAACTTGCCAAGGCATCAATTTGGGAATTTGCAAAGCAAGATGTTTCCAGCCTACTTTTCCCTGGTGGGAGTGTGCTGTGCAGTGGCAGTAGGGGCTTTTGGTTACTTGCATCCATGGAAGACGTCGAGCCCTTCTGAGAAGTACCAGCTTGTATTCCTGCTTGCTGGCTTTGTTTTCAGCCTCATCAATCTTGTTATATTTACTCCCATGACCATTGAGGTAACACTCTCCCTTCTTTGTGTTATACAGCTTGGATTATGTGTGTTGGTTGATTGACATTTGTGCACTTGTTACTGTTATTTCAAGGAATGTCGAATAGACAGGCATTCGTAATTACAACTGCCTTGATGATTTTTCTCCTGCTGTGTTTAAGAATTTTTATTATGTACTGAATTGTATGAGGAATTGTTAACTCAAGAAAGTTTCCAACTTGATCCAAATGATTATAAGGAACACTAGTGATGTCATTTTACTAATCCTCTCTCAGTGTTATAAACAATGTGACATTTACAATTTCTTAATTGTGCAGATGATGAAACAGAGGCACAAGGTGGAGAGAGAAGCGAATATTGGGCAAGAAGTTGGTGGAGCGAAAAACCAAGAAGTTGCAAAAAAGGACCCAAGGCTTGCTTCTATGAATAAGAAGTTCGGCATGATCCATGGATTGTCTTCGCTTGCGAATCTCATGTCATTTGGTAGCCTTGCTGTCCACTCCTGGTATTTGGCTGGTAAAATCAATTTTTAGATGCAACGCATGTATGTTCCCCAGACCAGCTATATGTTTCGCATGGTTTTTTTTTTTTTTTTTTTTTTTTGTGTATCTGTAACATCAAATGCCTCAACTTTCCGCTTCCACCCTTCTTCATTTGGGAATATCCTGGTTGCTTCTGAATCTTGATTATGTATTTCTGGACAAATTTGAGAATAAATACTTTTTTCCAGTTTCTACCTTGAAACCTATTGTTTTGGATGGAATTGTGACATACACAGCTTGTGAATTCAATAAAAATGATCTAGCGTGTGCTGATATGAACGATTGAATTTGAAAACAACTGTGCTGTATATTTTGTCTTCCTCAAGTGTAACTGATCTGTATATGAGCTGTTTCAGACTATATTTTGCTTCTTTGGCTACTTACTTCACTGAGAAGTTATATTATTATTACTTCGTGACCCATCTTCTGATATTACCTCTGAGAAGCTTTCATATCTATGTGAATGTTGATGGTATGACCTGACCTACTCTGCCTACCTTTGCGGTTCTGTCTTTCATAGTAGAGGTTGTTACGATATTAATGCCGGATTTTGTAGTTGTATTCCATTTAATGCAAACTTAGTTGATGGTACCGTGCTATAGCTCATTGTAATGGATACGGTATTTTATCTTTTTATGATGCTCGAGTGAGTCATAACTGTTACATTATTAGCAGCGGAACATGACGAAACCAAATAAAAAATGCGTGCTTCTGTTATGGGTACCCTATCAGTAGATGAATGTGATTGTTATGATGGAATTTGGATCATTAGTTTGAGTTGCAAGATAGGTTTTATTCTGTACCTTTCTTGAAAATCAAAAACTTCTTTCTCTTACTGGCCTACAATAGCATAACTTTCGTAACTTTGTTTTTTTATCGTAATCATGCTGGATTACCAATGAGATTACGACATCTTGATTGATCCTATTTGCAGTTTCTTTCGTGCACGTTTTAGGCATTGCGACAACATGCTAGAGCAGCAAATACTCGATGATATTAAAGCGGGCCCATTCCTTGCCGGGTGTATAAAGTGGACAACATTGATATTTGTTGTCTGTATTGCAACAGGCCGAGAACATTCAACAACTCAAGGCAGCCTCTACAGGTAAGTAGTTTACCAGAACGGGATGCTGCTAACAGTAGATCCCTATTTTAGAAATGAAACTATGATTTAGATGGTCAAGCAAGCCAAATACTACAATAAGCACACTCGTCAGCCAGGTAAGAACAGATGCGCCGGACAGCGTTTCGGTTCAACCCACGTGCGCGTGCCTCACCGCCTCGTTGGATGGATAGGTATGAAGTGTTATAGCCATTTTGGACTAGGGACCCTTATTTTGTCCCGAAATGTTTTTGGCATATTAGCAGCAGACATGTTTCAAGTTGGGCATGTTTTGGTCCCAACCCTTCATAGGATCTTCCCAGAAAGTCTTTTAACATTTTTTTATCAACTGGATAGGTAGAAATTCCCAACGTGAAAACCATTGATATCCTAAGTTAAAAGTGGTCCTTAGTGAACCTCTTCTTTCATAGATATTGTAATAATAGTAACAGTAATAATCTGATACAGATCAGGGAAGCCATTGCTGCTTCCCACAGGTGTAAATGAATAAAGAATCGAATTTTCGTGGGTGTGGGGGTGTGGGTGTCTAATCAATGAATTTTGATTAAACTAAAAGTTCCCAAAACGAGCAACTTGGCAGGGAACAAAAGCACCACAAGCAAATGCATGTGCTGTGATGCAATTAACCTAGTAAACCTTTTCAACGACTCTCTACCTGTCTGAACCATGCCAGAGAAGTCCAGCTGTCCTTGGACCATCATCTTCTCCTTCTCCGACAGTGTCGCCGGCCGCCTGAAAATAATGCCGCCGGAGTTCGCGGCTCCTCCCCGCGGCGCCACCAGCGGCCACCACACCTTCCTCCGCCGCTCCCTCTTCGACTTCCGGATTCGGTTCAGCTCGTGGCGGATCACATTCCGAACGGACTTTAGATACGAGTTCATGTCGTGGTCCCTTTGGATCGTCCCTCCCGAACCGTATGCCGATCGGTCGCTCAGTATCTCGAGCGGGTGCGGCGAGTTCATGAACACCGCCTGCGCCGCTTGGATCTGCTTCTCCGCCTTAGCTGCTTCCGTCTCCGCACCCGTCATTACGTACAGACCGCTTCCGGACGGGAGAAGATTGTGGTTCGGAGAATACGTGTCGTCCGGTTGAAGAATCAAGAACTCCCCCATCGGAGCATATAACAGCTTCTGATTTCGACAAGAAAAAAGAATGAGATTTTAACTACAATGTATCGTACTAAACAATGTTGTTTCCGCAATTCGGGATAATAGCTATATACCTGCTTACTTAAACATCGAAGATTTCGAAAATTCCCATTTATGGCTTTGAGAAATTCCGCAACATGGATCGGATAATGACACGAAAATGCTCGGGGAACGATGTCTCGGTGCATCGTGATCGAACGTACGTGACTTTTAGGCAGACCCAGCTTGTGCAGCAGGCGATTGCCGCCGCACATAATCGTCGGCGCCCCGAAAGTCACGACGGGAAGTAAAGAAGACCGGGGTGCTTCGCCTCTTATTAGCAACATTAGACTCACAAGCAACGATAAACTACCGCCGAGAGAATGCCCCGTGAAACGAAATGTGGCGCGCTCCCCGTGAGTCTTTACGTGCGCGCGAATTTCAGGCAACATCTGCTCGTAAATCCCCTTTGCAGCCTCGTATATACCTCGGTGCACAAGAACGTCCAATCCCTAACGACGAAAGATGAATCAAGAATTTAACATTACAAAACTCGAAACCATTGAAGCTTTTTGTCGATGAGATTCTGTGAAAAGGGTTAGGCTTATTCACCTCAAACTCGATCGGCTCGAAGAGTAGATTCGCCTGCCATGACGCAAGCGACTCGGATCCCTGTAACCGACAGGTTTAGAAATCATTCTAACATATCGAATGCAAGGGGATTTAATCGGATGATTGTGTTGTTTTACCTGTACGACGAACAATCTGGTGGCGGTCTGATCGTCGTCGCAGACGAACCACTCGCACGGCGACGAGTGGGTTGAGTTCAGGTCATCTGCAACAGCCTGCTTTACTTCCTCCTTAGCAGCAACAACTGCAGTCACTGAATCTGTGGTCGCCATTAATGAAGCGACGTCCTGGTTGATCATATCATCGCTGTCTGCAGCTGCTCCATTGATTTCGTTTGGGATTGAGCCGGAGGATTTAGAGCGAAAGATGGTTCTGGTATGCGAATGGAGATACGACGCGGCAGAAGCAACGATGTGATAAGCTGCAGCTGCACTTATATGGCGTCCATTGTCTGTTTCAGATATCACTGTCTCATTACCTGCAACAGCATTCTCTGCCTCAGCTACATCAGCTTCTGTTCTTCCCTCCGACTTCTCTTTCTCGGCCGCGGCTTCCCTCTTCTGCACCGACGAAGTCACAAGCCGGAGGCCGTGATTTCTCAGAAGATTGCTGGGCTGCATAACAATTCCTCACAATCACAAAATGCCATTTCTTCAACATATAACTTAAATAAGTTTCAGAAACCCCCAAAAATCCAGATTCAATTAACCACAAAAATTACAGAACGCACAAATCAAAGAACACGAGTGGATCTTCTTCCTCAAAAAGATGAAGCAGAAAAGGATACCTTAATTTCTGGGATAGCATATGCCAAATTCCCCAAATACGACATCCGGGAGTACAATCTAGCTTCGGCGAGAGGCACTTTCCGCAGAAGTTTCGAGAACGATTCCCTGTCGAATTGAATCTGTTCATCGCCATCGCAATCGCAGTCGCCGTCGTTCTCAACCGCGCAGCAATCATCTTCCCCACCATCATCATTAATTTCCCCTTCCAATTTCGCTCCGATCTCTTTCGTCGATTCAGGCTCATTAACAGCCTCCTCTTTCCAGAGAGATTTGACGTGCAAAATCTTCAACACCCAATTCTCATTCCGCGATTCCTCCGCGCTCTCCGCAGCGTCTTCCTTTTCCTCCACCAGGACGGAATCATCCACCGCGATCGCCGGTTCGTACCGGCTCTTACCTCCCGGCCACAAAGATCCCAGCGGATGCCGGAAAGTGAATCCCCACGGCAAATTCCTCCGCTTCACTGCCGATACCGACGGCTTGTCGCTAAGCCGAAGCTCGCTGCTTCCCGATGCGGCGATCTGCGGCGCGACCATTCCATGAATCCCTGCCTTTAAGCACAAAGCATCCATCTCTGCCCTTGCAAATCCGTACAGTCCTAACTCAAACCTATTACTTCGCTATAAAATTCCTTCAGTATACAATACGTATTACAAATATATAGACAACGAGGTAGAGGTAGAAGAAGAAGAAGAAGAAGAAGAAGAAAGAGGTTGGCGCAGGATATTAACGTGAGCACAATCTTTGAATTTCAGAGGCGTTATGGAGACAAACAGTTGGTTTATAGGAGGGAGAGGAAAAATGAGTTCCTCCCTTGTACCCTCGAATTGATTAGGACCAAAATTTGGTGACCAAACCTCACACTCTTCTCACCTTTCTCTCTGCAACTCTCTGATCGATCGATTACTGATTCTCTAGCTGGCTTGGGTAGCAGACGTGAAAACTCCAATTTAGGGGGAAGGGAAGTCAGCAGAAATGAAGAAATGAATCTGAATCTGTACTTAAAAACAAAATCAAACCGAAACGACGTCGTGGGCAGTTGGAGTCGGCGGGCGGGGCTCCGCGTTACATTAATTACCCGAACCCGGATTATTTATTATTGGGCGGTTATTTACTGAATTATTGTTTAATACATTCACATTAAGCTGGCCTCCTTCATTTTAATAATACCTTTACCACCGAATATTTATATTATAGACAATGAATAATAGTAAATAATTTAAAGTATATTTTTTTAATTAATTATTAAGAAACTTGATTTATCTAAAATAATTTCAAATTGAAATTAGTATATGTAATGTGTATACATACAATTTAAAAGTCAGATGAAACGTAAATTTATTTTTTATAAAAATGTGTAATGCAGTCGATTTATTTTATCTGAATTGATGGCTTTTATTATTTGAGGTATTGATTATTTTATTCATAAATTAATATTCTCTCCGTCCACAAACTAATATCCTATTTTTTTATTTGGGACGTCCAACAATTAAATTTTATATTTTTATTCTTAATTCATTTATTATTTTTTATCTCTACTATACAAAGACAAATATGTCTATTCATAACAAAAAGACAATCACCTAAAAAAAACTATACAAGGACAATAAAAATTGAAGGGAGAAAATATAACACAGGTACACGTATGTCCATAGCTTGCATTCTATATATCTTTTCATCATAATTTCTCCCATTTATTCAGCCGCAAGGTTACCTTTTTCATTTTTTTTTTTTATTATTTTTCTTTTCTGTTTTATAACAAAAGTTACATTTTTCCAAACTTTTTATGTTAGTATAAAATATCAATCACTTATTTATATAAATACTATTCTATTATAAATAAAATCAAAGAATAAATTTGCCTTCTGACTTAAAGTAAATATTCGTGCCAAAAATAAATATAACACTTTCTTGTAGGCTGAGGGAGTATATTGTATAGAAATTCTATCTTCTTATTTACATGTGAGAATTTGATGATGATTTTACTATTTTAAAAGTATTTTTTCTTCGAAAACGTCAAGTGTGTGTTTGTTTGTAGGTTTGAATTTTTTTATTTAAATTTTTGAACAGTAAAAAGTAGAATTTGAATAATTATTTGATTGGATATAAATGGATAAATTATATAACACACTCGTATTTTAGTAAAAATGTATAAAACACCGCATATTTTATTTATTGCGTGAAACCTCTTTATGTTAATGCAAAGTTTGTACAATATTTTCGTCCAAAACTGATATTTGATTGTAAATATGAACTCAACAATGCAAGTTTTATTAAAATTAATAAATAAATAATTGATTAATCATTCTTTCTATGATTTGTTTAAGACAAATTGTTATGTGATTTTTACAAAAATTAAAAAAACAATTTATTTATTTATTTTATTCAATGAAATTATTTATAAAACTTGTTTAACTTATGTCATTCTTTAGAACCAAACTTCACAAGCAAACAATTGTTCTTCTTTAATTTTAAATTAAAATCAATATTATTAACTTGTATAGTTTTCAAAAAATATAGTACTATCTTTGTGCCATAAAGTATTTATTTTTCCATTTTAGTACGTCTCATAACAAAGTATTCATTTTATTTTTTTAGTAATTATACTATTTACCTAACATTGCAAATACTTTTACAACTTACAATATATTACATAAATACCATTATCTTTATATTAAGCTACAATAATAAAGTTATTTTAGTCATTTTTACTTTATTCCTACTACATCCAAATATAATACTAATATTTTTAAAACTATTTACAAAAAGCAAATGGATAGCTAGTTATGAGACGGAGGACGTATTATTTTTTTTAACAAAATATAATATTAAAATATTATTTAAATAAAATTTCAAATTAATAATTTATTTTAAATCAATTTCAAACAACAAGCCAAATAAATATTATATTTTGTTGATTTTTTTATTTTAAACTTTTAATTTTTAAATAATATTTTGATATAATTTTCATAAGTAAAATGATACCATATTTATTCAAAATGTGTTGAGTAATATCCTCTATCTCCCAAAAAATATTTAGGCAAATGATACAAGAATTTAAAAGAATTATAATAATTAATAATTAAGAAATATATTATTAAAAATAATTATAAAAATTAAGATAACAACATAAGTTAATTAAAATTAAAAAAATTATGAAATATAAAATTTAAAATATAATTAAATATATATATTTATTTTTTAAAAAAATAAAAAAATATATCTGTTTTTCGAAAAATATGAATCGAAATAGTAAAATAATAAAAAATAATCTAAAGAAACAAACCACACTTTATCGGAGCAAAAAATGAGTATTTAATATGATTTTTTTTTTTTTAATAAATAATATCAAAATTCCAAAAATACTGTGCAAACAGACAAAAGCTCATAGGGCATGTCTTTAATTTTACTAGGCTAAAAGTTAAACCCACCTAACCAGGTGGATTAATCATAAATGTTGCTTAATTTTAATATATTTATTTAATATGATATTTTTAAAATTAAATAATGTTAAAATTTTAAAAATATTGTGTAAAAAGACCCTAAGCAGCTCATGCCAAGGGTGTGTTTGTTTGGGGGTTTGAATTTTGAGTTGGGATTTGAATAGTAAAAATTTTGAATTTGAATAGTTGTATGATGTGATATAAATAGGAGTTGACGTGATGTTTTGAATGTAAAATTGATTTTTAGTATAATATAAAAAATTAAAAATAAGTGTTTAATTTGATATTTTTTAGGGGAAAAAATTGGATGAATAGTGTAAATCCAATCAAATCCCCCAAACAAACACACCATTCATTCAAAATTTTGTTAAAATTTTACTATTCATTCAAAATTTTCCCTCAAAAAATATCAAATCAAACGCCTACTTTTAATTTTTTATATTATACTAAAAATCAATTTTACATTCAAAATATCACATCAACACCTATTTATATCACATTATACAACTATTTAAATTCAAAATTTTTACTATTCAAATCCCAATTCAAAATCCAAACCCTCGAACAAACACACCCTTGGTAGGCTAAAAAAAACCCACCGAACCAAGTGGATTGATCATAAATGTTGCCTAATTTTAATCAATTTTTATGGCTCACTTAAATAATCTTTAATGGCCACAAATTTTTAAATAAAACTAACTACATTGAAATTAGTAACTCATTCATGTTCCAATTCAGCCCCATTTAAGATTTTTTTTAAGTGTTCAGTCAAATTTAAAGTTATATGTAATATTTAAGATTTAGATATATGTATACATATATATTATGGTTTAACTAAGGGTGTGTTTTTTTTTTTTTTTTTAGTTTGAATTTAGTATTAAAATAATGTTTAATGCAATATTTTACCAAAAAAAAAAAAAACATAAGAGTGTTTTTTTTAATTTAATTTGAGTTTAGTATTAAAATAATATTTAATGCAATATTTTACGAAAAAAGAAAAATTCATAATTCAAATAATAAAATTTGAATTTTTTTTTAAAAAAAAAGAAAAAAACACTCTAAATTTATATTGAAAACAAGCAATGTCTATTGTATATTTGTGAATAGTTTATATATATAATACTGAAAATGATTTAACACTGAAACTGATTTAAGAAGATATCACATCACATACTTTTTTTTTTTTTTTTTTTTTTTTTTTTTTTTTTTTGGGTATAATGGTATTATTTATCCTAGTTTTATACTCCCAGAATTGTAATCTTCGTTTGTAATAAGACACAAAATTTAATAAATATCGATATTAATATCGATAGTGGATAAAAAATTTGGGTAAAATATTTTTTTGCCTTTGTGAGAGTATTAGTATAAAAAGTAGTAGCAATTGTGTAATAATAATGAAAAAGTAACGATACTTTTACAGTGATATGGTTATTTATGAAAATAAGACTATTATTTTTGGACGGAAAAAAATAATAAATATGACTATTGTATTGAAACGGAGGGAGTATGAATTATAAAGTTAAAAAAAAATGTTAATATTCTTTTGCAACAACTACTTACTTTCTTTTCATCCCACATAATTTGTTCATTTTTTCTATTTTTTTTTTGTTTCACATAATTTTTATTTTTTTCAAACATAATTATACACTTTAATCACATTTTAAAATTAATAATTTATAGATGTTTTTTAATTTTAATTAAACTATTTAATCATGTTAATATTAATTTATAATTATTTTTATTAAATTATAATTATTTTTATTAATATACTTTAATCACATTTTAAAATTCATAATTTATAAATATTTTTTTATTTTAGTTAAACTATTTAATCATGTTAATATTAATTTATAATTATTTTTATTAAACTATAATTAGTATTTTAATGTAAATGTCCATGTAAAAAATAAATGTGAGTATTATATTAAATTTATTTAAAATTTAATAATAATAATAAAAATAGTATGGTAAATAGAAAAAATGAGTAAAAAATTGGTTATTATTTGCTAAAATATAGATAATAAAATCATGAGTGAATAAAATTGTTTACTGTAAATAAATTAGGCATAAATCTAGCGAAATAAAATTTCATATAATACAAATAAGTAAAATATATTTATTTTGATTAATACAAATTATTTTGATAATATAGTATGAGTTTTAAATAGAGATATAAATATTTTTTTATTAACGAAAAATAGAAATAAAATGTTTTAACTAAATCCTATGTGTTACATGTTACAAAATAATTTATATTTATTAAATATATTTTAATATATTTAAAATATAGACGAATTTGAGATGAAAACAGTATTAGATAGCATATATACAGATTTTATATATAAATGATAAAAATTATAAGAACTATATATATTATATCTTATAAATACGAGTTTGTACGGATCTGCCACTTGAAAAGTCTATCTTGCCCCTTATTTCAAAAATGACAATTTAGCCCTTAACCTACCTTTGTACTGGCTTGAAAAGACGTTTTGGAACCGTCGTCAACCGCCCAAG